GGTTGGACTGGATGACCTCCAATGTCCCTTCCAACTCTGTTATTCTATAGCATCTAATAGAGGGCCTTGTGAAACTCAATGTTTGACCTCTCATTTCAACCCTGAGCTTACAAGTATTCTTTGTTATTGAATTACAGGCTTCTGTTCTTTTGCCAGGTGTTTAGCAATAGCAATAGAGGTGGCATTTAAGACTTATATACTGCTTCAGTGTTTTATAGACCTTTCTAAGTGGTTTTTACAGAGTCAGCATCTTGCCCCCAACAATCTGGGTCCTCATTTTACTGACTTTGAAGGATGGAAGGCTGAGTCAACCTTGAGCCTGGTGAGATTAGAACTGCCAAATTGCCGCCAGCCAGAAGTAGCCTGCCGTACTACATTCTAACCACTGCACCACCACAGCTATAACTGATTACTGTTGATTGATTACTGTATGCAACATTGATGCATTCATATCAGTGATGGGATTCAAATTTTTTTACTACCAGTTCTGTGGGTGTGGCTTGATGGGTGTGGCAGGGGAAGGTTGCTGCAAAATCCCATTCCCTCCCCAGTCCCCACCCCACTAACCTGCTTTCCAGCTCCATTCTCCTGTGCAGGGCAACAAAAGAAGACCCAGCCGATCAGCTGGGACTCGGGAGGCAGAGAATAGATGGGGGTGGGGCCAGTCAGAGGGGGTATTTGCCGGTTCTCCGAACTACTCAAAATGTCTGCTACCGGTTCTTCAGAACTGGTAAGAACCTGCTGAATACCACCTCTGATTCATATCTACTCCAACTGAAGCAAGAACCAAACCAAGGGAAAAGCATCCTTTCGGGGACAGGGGCATAGGTGGGAGACAATGGAGATGCTGATCCAACTAGATTCAAGACCCCAGTTCAATTTCATGGAGTGCCATCTAGCGACATAAGGCTTAAAAATACACTCCCTCTGTCCTTCACAAGATTTTTGATTGATTGCTGTATGCACCCATCAAGTGGTTTTCAAAATCACCGACCATATCAACAACTTCACTCTAGCACCATCGATCCCTAATCTGGTTTTTTTTGGGGTGGGGGGAAGTATCTCTTAAGGATGCACTCTTAGCTACTGCAATTGACCCAGCGGCTTTGTTTGGTACAAGAGAGAATTAAACCAAGGGAAAGCATGGGCAGGGAGAATGGGGAGGAGATGGTGGACCAACCAGACTAAGACCCAGTTCAACTGTTGGCTCTAAGTTCTGTTCCATGGAGGAATATCGATTAAAACAACTCCAACATATATTGTATTGATTTTCTTTCCTGAACTCCAAGAAGGATAGAAAGCACTTCCTAGGTAGCATCTTGGGCCAAGAAAGAGGCCCATTTTAATCTCCCCTACCTGCCTTTCTCCCCTCACGGACATAACTTTTTGCCTGGCAAAAAGTGGAATAGCACTGATGATGTTACTTAGTTAGGGTAATGAAATGTCTGCAAGAAAACAAGCAAACTCAGGGAGCACCAATTTCAACCCTGAGCTACAAATATTCTCCTTTATTGATACTTTTTACCCCTCAATTGGAATCCCAGTATTCCACCGTTCCTGGAAGCTGCCTTCATGCCTGACCTGACATTGAACTGAACATCCTTTGGACTTTTAATCCCCCGTGCTTGACCTTTATCCCCCAAATGTTTCTTTTAGGTACCTTCAAGCTAGACTTGACACCTGGCAACTGGCTGGACTGCTTTCTTTGCAGTTTCCATGGCAAGGATTTTCGGAAGTGGTTCCTCCCTTTTTCTGCTTCCTGGGCCTGAGCAAGGGATTGGCCAGGGATGCCCAAATGGCTCCATGCCAAAGATGAGATTTGAACCGAGCATCTCTGGCTCTCTAGCCCTGGAGCTTCAAACAGTATGCCAAACGGATTCTTCATACTCCTCACCCACTGCAGCCTTTCAAGATCTGGTCCAACATCTTTGCAATTGAGTTGAGTCCCCACTATTTTCCAGAAAGAGGAGCTTTTTTTGTCTTTGCTCTGAGCTTCAAACTTTTTTTCTGAGGAAATGGAGTTTCTCTCCAAGCTGAGTGCTGGTTTCTTGCCTAGCCCTGGGAACCAACTTTTCTAGCTGTGAAATTGCCTCTTGCAGAATTTTACTTGATTTTTAGGATTGTTCGTAGGTTCTATGAGGCCTAATTAATATATTTGTTGTTCTGTAAAGGAGTTATTTATAGGGAATTTCACTTTTCCCTTTGTATCTGTCTCATTGTGCCTATTTTGAATGTTTCTATAATGGAATACAATTGCTATTCCTCTATTTCTGCTCCACAATTAAAGGCAGGCTAGAAATTATTATTCCTCATCTCACACTTATACCCATTGCTCCTCTTTCTGGCCATCTGGTGTTTTGGTTGTATATATGATGCATATCTCAAAGGGGGGAAAAAATAGAATCCGTATGGAATTAGAATCAAAAGAAACACATTCTTTGCATTGAACTATTGCAGTAGCCAATCAGCTACGAATTCTTCTAAATTCTTCCCTTCCGTGCTAATGTCGCATCTGATTTCTCCAAAGACATCAGAATGTTGTAGGCACTAAGAGTGTGAATCGTGGAATGGTCCTCTCAAAGAGGCTTTTGAGCTATTTCAAACATTTTCAGCTCCTAAGCATAAAAAAATGTGACAAGATATAGCCAAAATGACACTAAAAACAGAATTAAATACAATCTGACAAGAATCAAATATAATTTGATTACTTTAAAATATAAAATGTTTATTACAGTAAAAGACCAGATATAAGGAACATGGGGTGTGGTCAGCTAAAATACAGAAAGTAATCAAAATCTAAAAATAGCAATTATACTTTAAAAAAAAACAAAAAACATATGTCAGTGTATATATAAAAACAGAAACCTAAATGGAACTAAGAGCACGGCAAGGAGCATAAGATTCCTGTAGAATGCATAAAGTTTAGTATATGGCAAACTAGTTCTACCACTCTACAGAGCACACTGCATGATGAGCTGGATACTCCTTAAGGCAAAGGTGACCAATTTTAAATACTGCTCTGCAGAATTGATCTCCGATTTTAAACATGCAAATATACAATCCAAAAGCCTTTTTACAGCAACTGCATTATTTTTCAACAAGGGAATATCCAATGCATTTTGCTGATAGCCAATCACAAGTACTTAGCCTTGATTAAGCTAACACTTTGCATTTCCATTTCTTTTCTCTTCTCCCTCATGCCTAATACTGAGACATGTTTGACTAAACTGAATTAGGCCAGAAATTAAATAGTCAATTTCTCAGTTGCTTTGACAAAGATAGATCAGAAAAGAAATTCAAGCCTTCTCTTCACTCGTCACCTTCTGCCTCATGTGGATTTTCTTATGTCTATTAAAGGAGGACAAGTGCGAGAAGCAATTTCCACACACTGTGCACCTGAAAGGTTTCTCCCCTGTATGTACACTTACATGACTTATAAGTCTAGACTTAGTACTGAAATCTTTCCCACAGTCCGGACACTCATATGGTTTCTCTCCTGTGTGAGTCCTCTTGTGTGTCACCAGAGTGGAACGATGACGGAAACTTTTCCCACAATCCAGACACATGTACGGTTTCTCCCCAGTATGAGTCCTATAGTGTATTACCAGGTCAGAATTCTGACTGAAAGCTTTCCCACCATTCAGACACTTGTATGGCTTCTCTCCAGTGTGAGTCCTCTGGTGGATCAGAAGGCCAAAATTGTGAGTGAAACTTTTCTCACAATCTGGACACTCGTATGGTTTCTCTCCTGTGTGAATCCTCTTGTGTTTCATCAGGTGGGAATTATGACGGAAACATTTCCCACAATCCCGACACTTGTACGGTTTTTCTCCCATGTGAGTCCTCTGGTGTTCCATCAGGTGACCATTCCGACTGAAACCTTTCCCACAATCGGGACACTCGTAGGGTTTCTCTCCTGTGTGAATCCTCCGGTGTGTCACCAGATTGTTACTCTAAACAAAATACTTCCCACAATTTAGACATTCAAATGGTTTCTCTCTTGTGTGAATCTTCTTGTGCATCATTAGGCCGGAATTCTGACTGAAATCTTTCCCACAATCGAGATATTCATACGGTTTCTCCCCAGTGTGAGTCCTCTGGTGTCTCACCAAGTATTCATTTGTACTGAAAGTTTTTCCGCAATCCAGACACTTGTACAGTTTTTCCCCTTTGTGAGTCCTCTGATATATTATCAGGCTGGAATTCCTACTAAAGATTTTTCCGCAATCCAGAAACGTGTGCTGTTTTCCCCCTGGGTGAGTCCTCTCATGTTTCACACGGTTGAAATTATGACTGAAACCTTTCCCACAATCTGGACCCTTATATGGTTTCTTCCCCATGTCTTTTATGCCTATCCAAGTGACTCCTTCCTCCCCAGTGATTTGCAGAGTATTTCCCTTTTTCTGAATTTGGAAATGACCTTTTTTCTGGAGTTCTTGCTTGAGTTCTGTATATAGGTAGTCCACAATCTACGATCCCAACTGAGCGCAAAATTAATGTTGTTAAGTGAGAAATTTGTTAATTGAATCTTGCCCCATTGTATGACTTTTCTTGCCCTATTTGTTAAGCGAGTCCCTGCCGTTGTTAAATTAGTAACACCATTGTTAAAGTGAATCTGGCTTCCCCACTGACTTTGCTTGCCAGAAGGTCGCAAAAGGGGATCATGTGACTACGGGACACGGCAACCGTCATAAATGTGAATCAGTTGTCAAGCATCCAAATGTAAATCACCCAACCAACGGTCGTAAGTGTTGGAAACGGTCGTAAGTGTTGGAAATGGTCATAACTCACTTTTTTTCACTGCTGTTGTAACTTCGAACAGTCACTAAATGAACTGTTGTAAGTTGAGGACTACCTGTACTTAGTTTTTTTTCCTGCTAAAACTCTCTTCCTTATTCTCTCTTTTGTCCATCACCTTGCCAGGGTAAAGAGAAAACTTTTGTGCTTTTCTGGAAGAAGTGGAAATGCCTCTCATTGCTGGCTGGATTTGCTTTTCTTTATAATCCTGCTTGTGATTCTCCCTTGACCGGAATTGTGTTCGTGGCATCCTCTTTGTCTACAAGATTGACATAAAAGGTTAGTTTAACGGTTATTTATGAAGTGGTTGCAGAAGATGTAAAAACAGCAAGAGGAAAAAAAAGCATCTACAATATTGTAATGAAAAAGAAAACATGCCAAAATGCTAGTTTAAGCTCTAACATTAATTATGATTCATTCAACCCACAGAAGATGAGCAAGATTCAACTTCAAATATTCACACAAACATTCAATTCTCTTCTGGACTTCAGGAAATCACAAATTCTTAGTCTTACAAGATGTTATTTTCAAATATAGTGGGAAATACTGAGGACAGATTATAGAGAGATAAATATAGGCACACCTACCAATGTAAGTATGTTAAAAACCCATGTGTATTTCAGCCACATAAATGTCCCAGAAGTGCATTCATTCACACTTTTTGGTTTAATATTTGACAGGTGGGGCAGGTGGGCTTCAACAGATGAAATTATGCTCAAAGCACCTGTAAGATATAATCCCCAGTTTTGCGCATGAAACCCCACAGTTCCCAAGAAAACAACACGTTCATAAAAATCACAGAGCGTCCATCCTAAACTGAAGGAGACTTTTTAAATCACCCAACCAACAGAAAATTGCAGGCACCACTTTTAAAACGACCAAAACAAAATTTGAAACAAAATTTGCGGAGGGAAGGAACATGCAGCAGCAGCAGCTGATATGTTTCAGCCTGGTTTCTTTTCTGCTTCTGCATCGTGGAGAAAATCAAACAGCCCTACTTGCACCCGGCTTCTCCTCCAACCTTTCTTCAACTCCCCTTCCAGGCAGCTGCTAAAGTCCTGGGAAGAAGCAGGAAAGGCGCCCTCCACGCCTCCGTCCTCCGATGGATCAGCTGGAAGAGGCACCTCCTCTATTCTTCCTCTCTCTTCCACATCCTCTCTAGAAATCCAGGACTCTATTGTTTCAACACCTTTAGGCTCCGTCGCTCCCCCTTCCCGTTGGATGCGGGCACTCAGCCTCCATCGACGCCGTTCTACTGTATTGACCCACTTTCTAGTCGCCGGGTGTTTAATAGAGCACGCGCCATCTAGCGACAGACGATGGAATTACAGGCCTTAGTGCTTTCTGGGCTTTCTTTTTCCTTGCCCCCCATTCCTCCATCCTCCTATGGACCATCCAATTCCTCTTCCCTTCTGCTCCCTCCCACATCCTCTCTAGCAATATTCTATGGTTGCAACACCTTTCAGTTTAGTCACTCCTCCTCTGGTTGGGTATTATTACAAAGCAACCAGGAATGTTGCTGTTCTGTTGCCAGCTTTCTAGGGGTGGGTTTTGTTAATGGCTTTGTGCATAAGGCAAGACTGGAGCTGAGCCTTTCTCACTCTCTAGCCTTGAGGTTTTCAGCACTACACCAAACTGGCTCTACTTACTCCCCACAAAATCTACTCACTCAGTTGCTCCTGCGGCTGCAATCTTTCAAGATCTAGTCCAGAGGTCCCCAAACTTGGCAACTTTAAGACTTGTGGACTTCAATTCCCAGAATTCTCCAGCCAGCTGGCTGGAGCTGGCTGGAAAATTCTGAGAGTTGAAGTCCACAAGTCTTAAAGTTGCCAAGTTTGGGGACCTCTGATCTAGTCCAACATCTTTGCAACCTGCTTCCCATTATTCTCCTGATAACAGGGTTTTTTTTGTCTTTAAATCTGAGCTTCTCAAACTTTTATTCTGAGGAAATGGAGTCAGGGCTGGGATTCTACCAGTTCGCACCTATTCGCTAGAACCGGTTGTTAACATTCTAAGAAGTTCGGAGAACCGGGTGTTAGAAGAAATCACTGGTCTAATCCTGTAAGGAAGGCAGGAAGGAATTCTGGTGTTGCTTACAGAATCTGCCTCTCCGTTAACCCTTATTACATTCTTGGCAGGACTAGACTTCCTGTCTCAGAAACCTCTCTGGAGGTTATTTTCCCCTCCTTTACTGGTACTTTGCTCATGTGGCGTGACCATTCAAAGTTATAATGGCACTGAAAAAAGTGACTTATGACCCTTTTTCACACTTACGGCTGTTGCAGCATCCCCACATGAGAGGCCAGGCGAGGAGATGTGTGCCTCGATGTGAGTGATATTGAGTTGGCCACACCTAGCTTGCTTAATATTGTTTGATTTTATTAGTGATATTAGTTTTTATTAATTCATAGGTTTTGGA